TTTTCTTCTCAGGACTCTCCTCAGAACTTGCTCTGTAATATATTTTGGGAAACTTTCCTGCCAAAAAAGTGAACAAAGATATAAGGAAAAGGAAAATTTCCAGGAGAAGTCAAATAATTTTTGCCCAACCACACCTTTGTGTGTTACCTTATGTCCAAATTCAAATCCAGAGCTGGGTAAATTCAAAGGCTGTGTTGTTTTTACAATGCTTTGCCAAGCTAACTTTGATCTTTGAAAGGCTGTATTTAGAAATCGAATTTATTGCTCTTTCACCTTTCAATCATGCGTGAACTTCACTATCTGAAAAAAATGCCTCATTTATCCTGAGTGTTGTCACTTGATTGGTAATATAAACTACATACAACTCAGTTCAAAACCAGAAAATAAAGATTCAGACCTTTCAGCAGTCAGAGACAACACTGAGTCCTGAACTAAAAGTCACAGGGCACCTGCAGCCCTGTAATCCAGAGGCAGACTTTCTCTCTGAAAAGAAGAAACCAAGCGTACTGCACAATCTATCAGTGCAGAAAGTGCTAGCACATTCAGAATAAGAACAAAAACCACACAGCCTAATTCAAGTGCCCTTAAGACGACAGTGGTTATACCATGACTTTATAATTAGCCTCACAAGAATCAGCCAAAACAGAATCCCAGACCCTACCCTAAAGTCCACTGAATCTATATCTCCTGGAAGAGTCTAAGAATCTATCATTTATCCCAGATGGTTCTCTTACCCCACTATTGATGGTCATTCCTCAAATAACTTGCAGTAAGATGAGCTGATGCACAAGGCAGGATTCTCCCTAAACACACCTGCCCACAGGGTGCAGTAAAGGTGTCTCATTAGCAGCATGCTGAGACCAGCATGGCCTGCTGGCCCAAACAACTGCAAGGAAGGACAAAGAGAGAATGTAAAATATAAAACTGACAGGCAATCAGAAGGGCTAAAAGTGGAGATGGCCCCAGATTGTAACGTCAGCCAACCCCCTGCAAAGGCAGCTACCCTCACTGTCTCAGAAAATGTTACAAAAGAAACCAGCTAAGACAGAAAAAATAATTAGCAATTTTGGACAAGAAGGCAATAGATGTTTTTCATCATCCTAGAAAATTCAACAGAAATTTATCTACTAAATCGAGTTTCCTTCATTATGCTTTTTTTCCTTTCTGCAATCCATGTAGAATGCTTTGCTAGGCAGTTAGACAACAATTGGTTAGTGACAACCTGTTTCTATAGTCTCTGGTTCAATGATAGATTAATTTATCAAAACCTTTTGGTTATCAGAAATACCTACTTAATGAAAGTATTAACTGTCACATACTTAGTGAATGTACTGAGTAAAAAGAAGAAAATAGCCACGTGTTGTGTGTATTTATTTGTTGTCATGTGATCATTATAAATTTCAGGGAGCAGGTAAAAGGAGACAATAGACCAAGGGAAAAAAATGTAACCTGTTCTTCAGCAAATTGGATTAATTTTTATAAAAGCAATGCTTACTTTCTTCAGAATCAACACCAATTTAAGCTAATTTTCCAGACTTTCTTTGGGTAAACAAAGCATAATTTGATTGATGATATGGTCTTGGAGAAGCAATAAATATCTGCTAGGCTAGACTCGAAGTGGTTAGCTGGGAGTCTGAGGAATCATCTAGTTTCTGTCCTTCACCACTGTGACAAAAAAATCAGAGCAAGTATGGCCAAGTGATTGTTCTCAAAGTCATGTAGCAATGTGACAGCAATGCAAGACATTCAGTGACAAGCTCAGCAAGGTATGCACATAAGGAAGATGCTCAGCAAATGTGTCCCTCTCTGCGGGACACTGGGTCCAGCATGTCTGGTGGTAGTCTGGGACATCACACATAATCCCTCTCAGCCAGCTGCTTTGCTGATGAAAGAGACTGAAGCCCAGAGAAACCCTACCTGTCTCCAAGTACGCAACTAGACTATAACCACGGGACAGACTGGGACCTGAAACTTCTGCCTCCAGGACACCACCCCCCCATTCACATCGCACTGTCCTCATCTCATTACTAAACAGTGCCATGTTTAAACGGGGCAGTATACTTAAATAGAATAATACATGATGATTCTGTGTATCCTATCTACAGGATCAGTTCTAAAATTTTACTTCAACCAGGTACTGCAAATCAAAAAACACCCAAAAACATGCTGAAACAACCAAATTAAATAAAATGGTTGCTGACCACCTAAGTTCTGGATTGCTGGCCAGAAGAATCAGCCCTGCATTGATTTTAAGGCACATGTATAACTGGGAAATGTGGACTTGCAGGCCTTGCTACAAACTGGACTTCAGCATTTTCCAGAGGAAGGCCCAGCTCCACCCTTAATAACCTGAGAAGTCCGCAGGAATTCAAACTGACTTTGATATGAATCTGTCCTTCTCTTCGGACTTGGTTTTCTGGCCTATGAGATGGACATATTTTCATAGGTGTTACAATGAAAAATACATAATTAACTTATGTTTTTAAAAAGAAGTTAGCACTCAGAGAGACAAGTAGGTTGGAATTCTATTTCTGCTTGAGAATCTTTTCTCTGTCTTACAGAACTAGAATCAAGGCACAAAAAACAAGTGATATGGATTACTTAATCGAAATAAAAACACAATGAATCCCATAAAAACTACCATGAAAAGACTCATAATTACTCGTAACTAAAAGAATCAGTTGACAAAGACAGCTATTCAAAGATCATTTCCATTGCAGTTCTTTCCACCTTTTGTGTTTTTAATCTGGAATAAAACACTCCAAAAACGTGTGTGCAACACATGAAGCTACTTGCATATTTCCACGTACACAACACTTACATAGCACATCAACTTTTATTTTACCCAGATACTAGGAGATGAGACTTGGAATATATTCCTGTTGGAGAATAAACAGAAAACTGTCTCCTTTCTTAATATATTAATACTTTATAATCCAGGCCACATGCTCAAATAAACCACATAAAATTAAGTCACACTGACAGAGAGGCAAACAGTGAACAAAGTAGAAACAACTTTTTTAGGGGTGCAATGTGTGGAATATTAAAATCATATGTTGTGTATTAATTTTTCTTTTGGAAGCCACATCACATTCTCTTGCATGCAATCTCACAATGTTTATCGTACATTGTTTTCCCGATTAAAGGTGTTAGAGAGGAACTTAACTGGTGACATTGGAGCCTGGTGTGTTTCAGAGGAGACACCAATAACAAATGACTCAAATTGCCAGCGTTGCTCTGGTTTTAAAGGCAAGACACACACACCTTTAAAAAGGCAAGCAGACGCCTTTAAAATGCATGGTCCTGATACCACATTGCCTTTTTGAACTACAAGCATTTGCTCCAACATAAACACCCACAGTGAATAAGCATAATAAGCAGGGAGGTTTACCTTAATAGCTGGGGCTGAGGAGGGGTCACACGGAGAATTAGTATACCTTACTTACACCATAATTGTGTACTACCTTCCTGGCTAAACTACCACAGCTGTCAGAAACGTCTTTTTTGCAAATTCCTTCACACTTTTTCCTCCAATAAAAAGTCATCATCTCTTAGGACTGCCTGCTGAAATCAAGAGTGAAAGGGAAGAGAACAACAACAAACTGCACAATTCTTTATCACACAAGCAGGGGGCAGGAGGGTACCTCACACAGCTGCCCTAGAAAAGCCTGCCCGACTACCAACAGAGCCCTGCAGTCATCAGTGGGAAGTGGCAGGCAAGTTTGCCGTAGTGCCTACCTGTCTGGGGTTTCCCTGCAGTCCCCCCAGGGCCTGGGAGGGACTTTTACAATTCAATAGGTTGGTGACAAGACCTTAAGTACTCATCTGTTCCACTGTGCATAGCAAGCCAGCTGCCACCAGGAAGGCAGGCCCTCCAGTGACAAAGGGGACAGGCCACCTGGATTCGGCACAGCACAACTCTGCCTCCTGCGGTCTCTCCTAGTCTGAAGGGGGCCGCTCTTCTGTTAAGGCTCTGCGAATCCCATCTTTCTTCCGCTTTTCCCTTCCACAGGCAGCCAGGCCAAGGACAAGAGGGCCCTGGAGCCTAGAGTCACGGCTGCACAAAGAACCCTGAGCCCAGGGAGACCCAACTGCAGCCCAAGAAGTCCCAGGCTGGCCCAATTCGCATGGAGAAGTCCCTTTCAAAGGGACTGAGTCTGGGTACAGGACTTCTATTTTAAGGGAACCGAGCTGGGAACACAGATGTTTCTTCAGTCAGCAGAGCTGGCAGAACAGCTCCTGGACCAAATCCAGTTAAGGCAGGAAGGGGCCTTGGACAGCATCTACTTCAACCCACCCAGCCAACTGCAGAGGACACTGGGGCCTAGGGGGTAGTTCGGGGGTACACCCAGCAAGTGGCGGAGTGGCAGCGTTACGGAACAAATCCCGTGCGATTTCCATTACAGTATTACTCGCAAAAGAAAAAAAAAAAAAAGAAAAGAAAAAGTCTTATGCTGACTCCAACCCTGGTGCTCCAGTGGACGCAGCAGGCGCCTTCGGCCGACCCGTCCCCGCGTCCCCCGCGTCCCCCGCTGCGCTCCCAATCACTCCCGGAAACACCACAGGGGGCGCCTCGACTTTCCCGGAGCGAATTCCATCAGGGTCACTGATCGCGGCTCGCTTTTCTCCATTATCCTTATCGGGGAAATGGGTCACCTAACCCCTCTGGCACCGACTTCAGCAGAATGCGATTAAAACAGATTCCGCGAAACCGCCCCCCGGGAGCTGGGGCCGGGAGCGGACCGAGCCCCGCAGGGCGCAGGGCGGGCGGCGGCGGCTGCAGCGCTGCTGTTTGCGCGCGGCCGGCGAGGCTCCGCGCGACCGTGGGCTCCGGGACAGGAGGAAAGCGACGCGTCACCCGCGATCGCGGCTCCGTCCCGCCGCCTCGGCTGCAGACCGCCGCGCCGCTCCGCGGGCCCAAGCCGGACAGGGGTCCAGGCGGGCGCCAGGGGCCGGCCCGGCCCGAGGAACCGGGGGAGGCCGGGGGGCCGGGGGCTCACCCATGAACAGGCAGAAGAGGTCGAGGCAGATGAGCAGCGCGCGCTTGCCGCCGCTCCTGCGCGGGCCGGGCCCGAGCGCCGGGCCGCCGCCGTTCTTGCTCTCCGGAGCGATCGCCTTGTCGTACTTGTAGCTCTGCATGGCGCAGCCGCGGCCGCTCCGCCCGCACGGCAGCCGCGCACCCGGGCCGGCGCTGCCTCCTCCGCCGCGCCGCGCTCCTCGCTCCGCCCCGGCCCGAGCGAAGGTCCGCGGAGAGCGCGGCTCCGAGCAGACCTCGGCGCCGCCGCGGGCGGGACGCGCAGGCACAGGCCACCCGGGCTCCGGCCGGGGATGAATGGGCAGCGCGAGCTCCGCGGCCCGCAGTCCGGCTACGCCTCCGCCTCCGCCTCCTTCTCCTCCAGCTGCTGCTGCTGCTGCTGCGGCCGCTTGGTTTGTTTTCTGCACTTTTATTTCATTGGGGTCCTTTAAAAAGAGCGAAGGCGAGAGGGGGAGGGCCCTCCTTACTTGGCTGGGACAGGATTCTGAAAGTACAGCCCCTTCCTTAAGCTGCCTAAAACGTAGGATAATTAAGGCCACATTTCCCCCACCCCCTTCCAAAAAAAAAGAAAAAACTAAAAGGAAAAGTTGCGCTCGAATCAGGGAGTCCGAGAGCCCCTAGCGTTCAGAAACACCAAAACGTTACAAAAGGAAAAATTAGAAAAAAATAAACATTTTCTGGCCTGCCCTTAAAAAGTTTAGCGCTGTACCACACTGCTTTTCTCCTCATTTGCAAGCTTGGAGTTAGGAGTCTTTATTTTGATTTGAGTTAGGTTATCCTGAAAATGGAATTTTTCAGCGAAACCAATTATTTAAGAGCTAAGGTACTGCGCTGGGTGTGGAAGATATTAAGTGAACAGTACTGCGGGACCCTAGAGCAAGATGTCCTGCATGTGAAGGCTGGGTGTGCCTCAGTTTCCCCGCTATAACTTGGAGATACTAACTGTTGCTTCCAATATGGTAATCACGGTGATCTATGTGAGCCGGGGTGCAGGAACCCCCAGCCCTCCAACCCCTCTGCTATCCCAGCTGACCTCTGGGCGTGCCGGCCTCCTCCTGCGGCAATCCCCAGGTAGCCAGGCTGGGATGGGCCCGGGGCTTCATGACTCCAATGCACTTCCTCAGGGACTCTCTTGTTATTTTTAATTGCGAGGGTTTTGGTTTTGGTTCCCCACCCTGCTTCCAGATAAAGAATGAGCACTTCCAGGGCAAAGGCCTTCCATTGTGCCTAGCATGGAGCCAGGTAGCCGCTGCACTTCTCCCAAAAGTCTTTTTCCAGAAAAATGTAGCTAGCTGATACATGGCATGGGTCACATTCTTTCTCACAGTGACTTGCTCAGAGTTCAGTAACCCTGGAGGCAGCTTACCTTTTCTTGAGCAGTCTTTTTACACCCCACACCCTGCCCTCCTGCCCTGTGCCTCTAGCACACCCTTCCCTCCCTTCTCTAGCTAGCAAAATGCTCCTGCTTCAGCGTCCTCTGAAATGTCACCTCCTGGCTGCCCTTTCTGGACCCCCACACAGAATTAACTTCATCCCCAGCACTTCCTTTCTAACATTCTCCTAATGTTTATCGCAGTCTGACTTGGTGTTCTAGTTAGCAAAAACTGGCCCGCTGGCACTGGTTAAGTGGGACCAGCAAGTAAAAGCGACACTGCTGTCTTCTGGCAGTCGGGCAGCATCTGCAGGCAGCGCGGGAGTGAGCTTCCGGCTGGCCATGAGACACAGCACCCTCCTTCTAACCTGACGGGTATGAGCTGGGGTAGCTGGGGTAACTGAGGAAACAGATGCCTTGTGTCATTTTCTGTGGACAAACACACTCTCTGAACACAGCAGAACAATGCCAGGCTGACCTTGTAATCGATGAGGCTACAAGGAATGCGGGGTCCCACTGCCTCTTCCTTGCCCACCCAACCCTCTTTGTAATTATAATCACCCCTGAAACTCCAAGTCACCAAACCAAATCTTTTGAATTCCAGCCTACACGTAACTGCAAGCTTTCTGATCTTTTCTGTCCTTGGGCTCCGAAAGTCCCTGAGCTTCAGTACCTCTCCGAGGGCATGCATATTACTTACCTATTACCAGCCCTTATTTCACTTTTCACCGGTGACCATAAAGTATCTCCCGGAGATTGTTAGCTCTGTATGCAGGGGAGGCTTGACTTTATACCTCAGGAAAGAGTGGTGAAAGCCAAAGCCAAAGAAACAGTAAATGAATGAATTCTAGACACCTCACTCTGCACTTCCTAACTGCTTTTTGTTATCTGTTAGATAACTTTTAAAATAACTTTTGTTATCTGTTAGATGACTTTTAAAATAGTATCATAACTCACTCAGGATTGTTGGCCTCTTCAAAAGTTGCTGGGTAAAATTAATTTAGCCAGCATTAGATTAACTATTAGAAATCTATTTTCCTTTAAGCTTAAACCAACTACTTATTAAGAAAGATAAAAATCTATTATTCTAAAAGTATATAAGGGGACATGAATAAATGTGTATGTAAGGGTTTTATATTTCCATTTGCAAAGTCTGAGGGCTATTTTTTCATAACTAAAACATAGTGTTATTTGTTACATAGAGATCTATGCAAACAAATATTTTATTTGGATAAATCTTCAAAGGAACAGAGTGCTACAAATACTCTTTACAGCTGGGATGAATAAGTCATAAAATAAGGTGTCAATATCATGCTTTAGACAGAAATAAACAGGCTAACCAAATACCTACATCTGAAGGCCTCGTAGCTCTTCTTTTCCGTTCTGTTCTTTTCTTTCTTCATTTTTCTTTCCTTCTGCTGCTTGGCTTTAAGCCGTAATGCTAAACACTCTTACCAACAAGTAAAATGCAATGAAATAGACTTGATAGTTTAGAATGGTGTCATTTTAAAGTAATTAAGTAATTAAAATTCCTGATAAACACAGTGTACCAAAATTCATACATTAAAATGGCATCTAGTTCACTAAAGTAGTTTGTAAAAACTTCTACATCAGCAGGGATAAATGCCTTTTAAGATTAACTTATTATGTGTAGCAATAACACCACATCATTCTCAAGTAACTGATACCTCCCAAGAGGTTTAAGTGACCTTTATTTCTAAGAACTCTTCTTACCTCATAATTTTTCCTTTTTAGCTCCTAATATCTAATAATTAATCATTTTTTAAAGGTATGCATTGACTCTGGGTATATTCAAGTGGAATCTTTAGGTAAAATTGTATACTCAGAGTCAGAGCCCAGATTCCTTAAGCCTAGAAGTTAGTTTAGGAACACACCTTAGGTTTTGGCTAAGAAGTACTCATTCATCTAGGTTCTTCAGAATGGCTACATTTTACGTCTGGATTTATTAACTCAAGCTTGTTGGCTTGCTGCTCTGAGATAGTAAGTAAATCCACACCACCAAATGGAGAAGCCCACAGTAACCCACCTGAAAAAAAAGGAGAAGGGATTTGGGATCAGAAAATCCTGGATTCTAGATAGGAAATAAGCTGAGTAACCTCTCTTAGTAACCTGCTTCTTCAACTTTAAATGGGGCTCACATTTTCTTTGGTTCTATGGAGGAATAAAAAGTCGGAAAATGAAATAATATATTTCATGTACAACAGGTTAGTTATGTGTTAACATTTTAAGTGATCATCAAAGAACTATGGGATAGCTCAGGGATGGAGCACCTGCCCCCTACCTGTGTGCGGGCCTGGTTCAGTCCCCAGCTCTGCAAAAACAAAACAAAAGCAGAAGATGATAACCAAAGCATCCAACAAACACTATTTGTGCAGAGTATACTTAACCGAAATACAGGTATTTGAATACCATTTAACATGTATTGACTCCAAAGACTCATTTAGTTTTATTTATCCCTTTCTAATCTCTACCCCTTCTTTTTTTAAAAATTTTTTTATTTCTTTGTGATGCTGGGTTTGAGCCCAGGATTTCCTACATGTTAGGCAGATGCTTTACCACAAGCTACAGCCCCAACCCTGTTCCTAACTCTTTTAAATGCTCAATTTCTTGAAGTTTCTAAAAGCAGTAAATCAAAGATGCTGACTTTGAAGACAATTTAGTTGTAATTGTTTTCTTCAGGATTAAGTCAAGAAAAGTCATTTGCTTCCACTAATAATCGTTTACAATGAGAGCACCTTCATTTAAAAAGTACTTTCACGTCTATTATTTTTTTGTCTCAGCTCACTGAAATAGGTGGAGTTGCTATCATTATTCCCATTTTACAGATGAGAGAATGGAGGCAAGCCCATTTAAACTGGATGGAACTGGTTTTCCTCTGCAGATGAACTAGAAATGATTCCAACATTAGCTCATGCACTGTGGAGTTCATAATGTGTCCCAGTTTAGAAATAACATACACTTTACAGTTCATAATGCCACTTCTATCCAGAATCCATCACCAACAAGGTAACACAGAGATTATTATATTCATTTTAGAAATGCAGAAACTGAGTTGGGAAAAGACAAGAGATGTGCAGGGTGACAGTTCCTGAAGGCTGTGGGGACCACTAGGACCACTGTGTTCATTCTGAAGCAAGAGCCCCCTTCCCCACCACAGTCATCCCCAACAGGTGTTCACAAGGTGTAGTGGCTCCAATAGTTTCACTGAGCTTCCAGAGGGACTGCAGAGTTACCCTCACTGCACCGCACTACAAATGGGGAAGTTTTTGTTTTTTGTTTCTTAGGGATTGGAAGGGAGCAACAATGTTGCACCTTGTGTCTCTGAAACAACTTTGGGCTCATAAAGTGGCTTGTTACAAACAGAGCTATAGGAATAGAAAACAGAGCTAACAGAAATATAGAGAGCTAATACAACAGGAGGGCTACAAAAATAGAAAACAGCAGTGTGGCTATGCAGAGGGGGCTCTGCAGTTAAGTCACCTCTTCTCCTTCCTGCAGACAGCAGAGGTTTCCTCAGGTGCAAAGCTAAGAGCTGACCTCATGATAGCTCAAACAGTTCGTGTTGGGCATAAAGACGAAGAACCAATATCTACAGTCGCTGGAGAAATTTCGAAGTAAAGATGCTGCAGAGAATTTTTCTCTACAGCTAGTAAGACCAGAATTTGGCCAACTCATAAGGAGACTGATACTGCCACCTAGTGTTACTGTGTTGAAGTGCTCTGGCTCCCCAAGTGAAGAGTGACACGGGGGACAGGGATCCTGGAATGGGAATCACAGTTCTTACACCACGCATAGAGTAATAACCAACACTTACTAGATGTTGATGATCTAAATATTGGTCATTCTCTCAATAGATACTTACTGAGTGTCACTATGTTTCAAATATGCTTCCAGGAGACAAGGGTATAGCAGTAAGCAAAACATAAAAACTGCCCTCATTTGGGTTTAATATTCTAAACAGCTCGATGAAGAAAGTTTCTCCTTTTATGGTGGAGGTGTTTTGGAGCCTAGGAAAT